GTATAATTACCAAAGTTTATTATAATAGAGTAAACATTTTAGAAGAATCTATAAAATAAACATTAAGGGCAGAAATTGTGGTCAAAATTATATCATTGAATTTTGTGCATTTGTGATTCAAATGGATAAACGTTAAATCTTAAAATAGTATCAAAATTGAGATAATTAAAAATAAAAGGATGTTACGACTTGTATTCTGTTGAGTACTTTTATTTTGTATTATAAGTTTGTAGTGCAGTCACAGAGAAATGGTAACTATTTGTGTTACAATTACCATTTGCTATGTCTGTTAATATGTTTGTGAGAACGTAATCACATAATCATTCGTGACTTTTCAACGTTCTCAATTATTTTTAGCGAAGGTCGAAACACAAAATGAAACCAAAGATTGGAAAAATTCGCATGAAGAAGACTGCACACAGTCCGATTGATAAAATATTTAGAAAGCATCGTAGCGTGGGTACACACTTTCAAAATCGGTCGACGCGACCGAGAGGTTAGCACGGTACGAACAAAGGTTTGTGTAAATTCTACGAGGCAGGTCTGATTGTGCAAACAAGTTTTTTCCTATGCCACCTTTAAGACGATTGGAAGGTCTTCTTCGAGTAGCACTTCAAACCATTTACTTATCGCTTCATGATATCATAACTGACGTCAAACCGAGTTCAATGATCTTCGTGTGATTAATGATTAAACTATGATTCAATTGATTAATGATTAAACTATGGCATAACCGCGCGCGCGCGGGCGTTGATCGAAAGTGTTAATCAGAATCACTGTGTTGAAATTCACAAATCAAATTATTCCTCAAGCATCCTTCAGGTTTTATAGGTCGTGTACGTAACGGGATCTCATCGATTTCATTAAACTCAAGGAAAAAAGACAAATTGTGATAACCGGATCGAAATTTTATACGGACTTCGACGAGATAAAAAACTGAATACGTGAATACCGATGAGTTTATCAATGTGATCTGTTTAGTAGCTTTCTTGTACTTTTGAATTAATAGTACTTATTAAACTTCAAATAGTACATGATTCCTAACCGCTGGAGAAACCAAAGAAAAAAATATGAATTAACACTAGATTTACTTTAATTGAGGCTTTTGCAAGAAAAATAGTTCCAAATCAATTTACACGAAAAACTTCATTGAAAACATTTTTTACATGTAAAATCTTTTAAAATACATTTTCCGCAAACATTTTTATTATATTTAGCACAAAGGCTCGTAACCGATTTCTATTTCTAACCCTGACATATAACCAAGCTAACTAATAAATTGACAAGATCGAACATGAATGTTTACGCATACGATGTTTTTAGAATACTGATAAGAGCTTCCTGCATGTAAGCCAAAAATTTCATGCGTTTAAAGCAATTAACTGTTGAACCATTTTATTTGTCAAATTGACTCATAACCGTAAAAATAGGTCATACCACATTCGACAATGCGAAATGAAGGGGTCGGCGGAGGGGAGGAATTTATATTTACCTATATTTCACTATGTAACTAAAAACTAACATATGTATTTAAAAAATAATATTTAAGTTTTATATGCAGAGTGTTCTACGTAACTATCGCCACGAATTTTCAAGCACTTCCGACAGTCTGACGGAAAATGTTCCGAACAAAAGTGAATCAGTTTTTGGTCAGCTATAGATTGCTATATAAAAAACTTAGGAAAAAATGTTTTATTCCAAAAAATCAAGGCCGTATTCATCAAATTGCATGATATATTTTTTACTTCATATTATTGTAGCTCGTTGTCAAAACGAATTCGGATGCTCTTGATGTAAAAAAAAAGTGAAATCAATGAAGTGATGCTGCTTTAGATGTTCCACACTTCGAACTAGTACAATGTAAACTAAAACAATTTTCATCGAAAATATATCACTTCATTGTTTTCATTTTTTTTTTATGTTGAGATCATCCGAAGGTCATGGTATAACAGGTTGTTAAATTCGACTTAACACGAACTACAATAATATGAAGTGAGTAAAAAATATATCATGTAATTTAGAAAAATGAAGGTGACCTTGACTTTTTGGAATGAAACATTTTTTCAAAAATTTGTTAAATTGAGATCTGTAGCTGATTTAAAACTGATTAACTTTTGCTGGGAATATCTTTTTGTCACACTGTTGGAAGTGCTCAAAAAATCGTGGCGACTGTTACATGGAATATCATTTGTATATGTATGTATATAGCAATAAAATTTTAAACAAGCTAAATTTTCTCAGTCCGTAAATCTAGTATTACATAAGTTCAGAAAAGGAGATAAGTAAGATTAGTGTCCAAACAACATATTACATATAGTACAGTAATATAGCGTAGTATGACGTAATATAATACAGTACATATAATATAATAGGATATAATACACTTAATACATGTAATAATAAATAATAGGCTTTAAAGAGAGAATTAAAGAAACGAACGTGAAATGAAATAGATATGCATAAGAGAATTGTAAATCAAATCCAAAGGTTGCGATATTGAAATAAAGGTGTTAATCATAATACTAATGTACTACAAGATTCCTAACAAGGAATCTGCCAAGTCTGCTTCGATTTCACATTTAGGCTGTTTCATGACTATAGTAAACAGATTAAATAAGAACATTCTAAACTATAGTATACTAGTTTACTAATGTAAACTGTAGTAAACATTGTGAACAAAGGAACTGTAACATTACTGTAATGTTATAGTATTTTTTCTAAAGGGTTCGGACGACACATTTTTTAATATTCACGACAAAAATAAGTCTGTAAATTACAAAAGGGTTAAAGACATGAACAGAATTCATGAATTTCAAATAAATTTTGTAATAAATCTTATTGATTATATTGTTTGTGTCATATCTCGTTTAAAAGCGTATTTATTACTTAAGGGTATTTAATCTATCTAATTGAAAGTAATCCTTGAATGTTTAATCAAATTAAGTTTGGACCGAGTTTATAACATTTCGAAGTTGCCGTTTACTTGGATCCTGTCTTTTGCAATTGATACATTCGTAACAAAAATGAAAGGACAAGGGACAGTACTGTATGTATTAATCACAAAATGATTGCATTTATTCGAACAAATATCCGAATCTTATTTTTTATACTGTTATCGAACACCATTTTTAAACCATTGTAAGTTACCTGATTTTATGAATACATAATATGTTATTCTTTTTTAATCAATTAAAAATTGATATAAATATATTTTTTGAATTTATATCCAGTTATATTTCAATTGAATGTTTGTCAAAATGTCTAATTTTTACTTGGAGCAAATGTACTTTCCACCGAATCCATTAGTCAAAATGTCGAATTTCAATTTAAAAGTAAGTGGATCCTTTCTTCGCACCTTTCACAAAATCAGAAGAGGATGATCACGGGCGCATGGCGCAATAGTTTGAAATCATGGGAGGATTATAATGAGTCGCTCGATAAGTCATCATCATTATCCTCCTCCTCGCTTCGAAAGCGGGCCTCCAAATAAGAGATCCAGAATCACGAATCCCTTACCCCTCTAAACAAGATTCGGCCGACTACGTAATTCGTTCTGACTTCATAATATGACCTTGACTATTGCGTCAGATATCGTTAAATACATCTTCTTTTGATTGGAAAAAATGTCGACTACGAATGTGTAGTATTTCGTGAAAAAAAGCCATGTTCTTCTTGCGTGATCGACTTGCGTGATGAAAAAAATATCGCTTTTTTATTTACTCCGAGAGAACGCTCTTTCTACTATATTACGATTTCGTAAGAAGCTACAGCGATTCGTAACGGTAGCTGTCTAGTCATTACTAAACTGTGAATTTTATGGATTAGTGATGAAATTTGGTAGTTGTCATTTAAATTAGTTTAAAAATCGAAGGAATTTAGAAATCTATTATTTTTAATCCATTAAAACGATTAAAGGAAGAATGGACTTCCTAATCAGTCTCTATTTCCTGTAATCGATGCAGACAATTCCTATTTTGCGAGGAAATCAACGAAATGTTTCGTTGCATCCAACTAAAGCTGAACAATTTGTTTAGGGTTTTGTATTTTACTTCCTATACAGGGTGAGTCTTGTAAATGACAACATCAAATAACTCAAGTATTTGTACGAATACATACATATAAATTTTTCTTATACATTACATCAACAGCAAGAAATAATAGGTAATTATGTAACAGGTTAAAATTCACTTTTAAATAATTTGATCAGATTGAAGTTAATCTTAATAGTATTTCTATTAATTTTTACAACGAGTGGGTCGATTGCAGAAAATAAGTGCTGTTTTTCGAACGTTATAACTTTTTTAAAACTAAACTAAGTGAGTTGAGTTTCTTTTTTTAATGTTAGAGGGTCTATTTTACTGTACAGTTACTAAAATACAGTTTTTTAAATTTTGCTATTACTTGAAATGACAAAAAAATAACAAACTCACTTTTCTTCAATGTTTTATCCGATTCTGTAATGAAAATTTAAAAAATGCATTTGGTAGTCCTCAGTCTATTTTCTTGTAAGCACAATTTCAATAGTGCTTACAGCTATAATACAATAGTGTGACAGCTATAATACTGTCACATGCTATAATGCTACTCTCTCGACTACACTTCGAACACTCATTGTAAATTGATTGAAATAAAATAGCTTTCGATATTAACACTTGTTGTTCAACCCTATATTGTTCAAATCAAGATCATTTGAAGGTCATAGTATAGTAGGTCATTCATTTTTTCATCATAACACTGCAAAGTCAAAAATACAGGGTGTCATTTAAAAAAGTCAAGATAACCTTTACTTTTAGTCGAAAAACAATAGTTTTTCAAATTTGTTGTATTTCAATATATAGCCAACTAAATACTGATTAACTTTTATTCGAAACATTTTTCTGTCAGACTGTCGAAAGTGCTTGAAAAATCGTAGCGACACGTTACATGCCACACCCTGTATAACATGCTGGAGCTTTCGTTGAAATCGGTTGATGTTGTTCGGAACTGTTACTGTGCGTCAACTGATTTCAATGAAATTTTCAGCATGTATATGTTACCGAGATCTAAAAAATATATTTTTTAACGTATTTTTAACGTTTTTTTTACATTTTTTTATTCCAAGTAACAGCAAAATTTAAAAAAAATCTCTCAATGATTGTATAGTGAACTAACCCCTCCAAAATTTACAAAAACATTCCAGTCATTTAGACCAGTTTTAAAAAAAGTGATAACGATTTTAAAAGGTGTAATTAAATTCTATTGTAAGAAATGTATCGGTAGATTGTACCGAAAAACAAATATTTTCTAGCGAATTATGTTTAATGAAAATTTCTTGTAGATATAATTTCTAAACGCTCAGTCCAAAAATATAAAAAATAAACTGTATTTTCCAAATTGTAATATTGTAGGAGCGACACAATTAATCAGTTAAATACAATTAATAAATATAATTGAAGTACCACAATTAACATATGTGATATTAAATACAATTATATCCTTTTGCTGTAAATTAATTTCATACTTATTGTACAGTTGCTAATACCAAGTAGAAATATAATTAACACATTTATCGTCCACTTAGCGACCATAAATACTGGATAAAATGAAAATTTAAACATTATTTAAAAGAACGAAGATCGAAAAGTTAGGAATTATGATATTAATCATTCTATCGAATGATTATACTCAATCCATCAGCGTAAAAATTAACTTTTACGTTTGATTGCAACATGTCACATGGTTTTACTTTCGAGACATTTTCGCTTGAACTTCTGATCTTTAATACTCAGAGTATCAGTAGCGTTTTAAATTCCATTATTTTATCGAGCCTACCGAATTTATTGGCATAATTTTCTTCTAATAAATATGTAAATACTACAGAATGTCTTAAAAAGATTGCGAAACGTTCAACCAGTTGAATCCTGAGGTCTTTTGAAATCATTTTGCCCTAGCGAATATGTTCCGTGCGGTGTCGTTAACGAATTATTAACAAAAAACACAGACCAATCAGATAGCAAGCTCAACGCAGCATTGGCTGCGCTGGAACGCGCCAGCCGTTCCCGCTTTCTGATTGGTCCGTCTTTTTCGTTAATAACTCGTTAACAAAGCCGCGGATTGCATTTGCGCTAAGGAAAATGTTGTTTCGAATCGCCTCAGGAATCACCCCTTGCTGAGTGTAACGTATCTCGTGAAAACACCTCGTAGTCTACAGTTCACTTAACGCATAAACTTAAATAAGAAATAAGAAAAGATTGAGAAATTTTACCTTATTCGCTAAAAGGTTATTGTTGGCAACGTGAACATAGCCATTAAGGCAGTCAGCTTTCTTGACGCAGATCCTGTTTTGCCCAAAACAGCTAATGGTGAAATCTGCCGTTTGCTCCAAGAATGACGACGATTTTGAGTTATCGACATCAAAGTAATCCGTATTAGCCGTTTGTTGAACAAACTGTTGCTCGGGGACTTCGAATGCTGTTTAGGTGAGAGACATATATACAATCAGTGATTAAATTCAAATTTTGCAACAATGTTATTAGGTTGTTGCATATGAGATGTCTGATCTTCATCAATAACTTCGTTGGTAACTCTACCAGTAACTTCATCGATAATTTTAAACAAATATGATTTTCTTCTCGATAAAGATTATACTATACAATTTTTAGCATTTTTTATTTTTGATAACGTCACTTCGATAACGCCTTACTAAGAAATTTTAACATTTCCTCTACATAATAATAATCTACATAGATTTTTATGCGCTAAACGCGAATTCGAAATTCATTTTTTCCATCACCTTCAGTTTTTTTTAATTTGTATAAAAAAGTATAATTATCAATTCATATAATTATTTCTTCCCTCAGCGTATTAATATGAGCACGACTTTTGACAAAGTAAGAGAATAGATATAGCGAGCGCAAGCAATAAAGCAAATTAAATTTTCAATAATTTTCGGCTTGTCTTCATAATTGTAGCATCAATAGATAGCTGAGATTATACTGGTTAAAATGAGTTCACACACGACGTAAATCGGATTAATTAATAAGTAATCTACAGGGTGAGTCGCGTAACAGGCACATCATAAATAACTTTTAAATTATGCTTCTTATGAAAAATGATTAAATACTTAGTTTCAAAGGTGAACAGGTTGTATGTAGATAGGTTTCCAAGTTCTCAATATCAACTAATTCAACGTTATTTGAGGTGTGCAAGTTATGTGACTCATCCTTTATAATAACAAGCTTTCCGATAAAGGTGTAATCCGATTTGCATCATGTTTGATAAAAGAATGTTGGAGATGATGGAGAAGATGTTAGAGGAGAGTGGGGTTGAGTCGTGTAAATTTAACCGTACGTATTTCAATCACTGTTGAAATTATATTATATTAAATAATATAACTATATTTATTATATTAAATTATGTTGTACTATGTATATTATATTGTATCTCAAGTTCGTGTTTTCATCCATATTCTACTAATATTATTTTTTTTATCAAAATGCACGGCTATACAGTAACCTGCTGCTCGCGATAATTTGTACCAGCGTTCTTTTTTCATAAATAGTAAACATCAAAAAAGGACGGAAGAGGAGGAAGTTATACTGTATTTTATCGGCAATATGGTAGTGTATTTCAATTTTTTTAATATTTGTCGAGAAACAAAGGCGACCTACATTTTTTTAAAAATGGAACGCTATATATTTTTTTAATACTATTTATATATAATGTAATTAATATTTATATATTTATGTAATATTCTGTGGTCTTCACGCAAATAATTTTTTTTGCGGAGAAAACGAAAAACACTGACTAATGAGAGGCGAGATCAGCTGACGCAAGGCGGCCGAGCCAATGAGAGGTTGGAGCTCGGTACATCTCAATGGCTCGACTGCCTTGTGCCAGTTGATCTCACCTCTCATTGGTCAATGTTTTTCTTTAATAACTCGTAATCAAAGCCATGAATTGCATTTGCGCTAAGGAAAAAGATACTTTAAATGATCTATAATCCGAACTTAATCTAGTCATTGAATAAAGTGCGCTTGTACTCAAAATAAAGTGTACTTGTAATCCAACAATAAATTTAATTTTCTGCGATTATCTCGGAAATTAAAGCCGAGATGCGGTAACATGTATAGGGAGAAGTTGTTCTGAATGATGACCTGAACAACAACATATTTCAAAAGGAGGCGTGTAAACTTCTAAATAATTGCCTTAACGATTAGCTGTAACAACGTTAGATTCACTAATGTGTTTCAGAATGTGTTTATAAAACGTAGAATGGTAGTATACAGACCTATCTGTTGCTCATAGTCTCCTGGCGATGGAAACGCATTCGTTGAAAGAACTGTGACAGCTAATATTAGAAGGTTGACCAGCATTTTCTTCATACTTCCCGTGGGAACATCTGTAACAAGTAAGAAATTTTTTCTGAAATGAATGTTGTTTAGTGCGGCCAAAAAATATATCGAAACTACGGATTTTGTGCATTAATGATTTATAAGTTTGTGTCATTGGTCATGAGACGCGGCAACGTCTCACGCCAAGTAATTGAGTGAAGCACAACGCTAACTCCGTATCTTTTCTTTGACCAAAACGGCCAAAAATTTTAATAACGATTTATTCGTTTAAACCATTCTGTAATTAATTTTAACGATCGCACAATTGTCTAGTGTCACCATGCGTGGACAAAAAGTCCTCAAACATGTCAACTAGGATAAAAATTGTTGAGATATTGAGATATCAATTTCACGTATAATTATTATATATAATTTTCCATTTTCAGCTTTCGATACTACACACACTGTACACTTTTGTGACTCACATTTTTGCCGACAGGTGGCTTCGACACTTTATTCTGGTTTCTACATTTTCGCCGCGAAGTGGCTTGAGCTACGAACGTAGCTGTCAAAATACGACAAATTTTGAACTAAAAGGTAGAAAATATAATAAAAGCTAATACAATCTAGGTTGAAGAATTTTGTAATAACATGCCTTAACACGGGAGAAATTGTTACACGATAAAAAGTGAATTAAGAATCAAGAGACGCGGTAGCATTTCGCGCCATGTAGTTGTTTCATTTTTAATATCATTACATGTTATATTTAACTCTCTGTACTATTGTATACATAACGTGTGTTATTGTTGATCGTGTCAACATAACGTTCAAATCTTGAAATTTCAAATTGTTTTAAAATCCCTTTAAGTGCTCTGTAGACCGCTTCTATTTCTAACTACTCTGTGTTAAATTATTATGTTTTTCTTACTAAGAGATGAGGCGACATCTTTTATCAAGATACACAAGAAAAGGTTAAAAAATATAATAAAAGCTTTGGACTCCTTATCCGAACATTTATTTTTACAATAGTCTGGTAGTCATACATTCTATTTTATAATCATTGTATTATTTAGATACATTATCACCTAGAAGAGAACTTGAATGAAATTTTTCAGTAATAGAATGTTTCGGTATCAGGATATTACAAAAATAAATCTTCGGATAAGAGAATCCTACTGTATATAGATTGATGTAGATTGACTGTATCCTATTGTATGTGATTATATTATATTGGCTGGCGCGAGGCAGCCCAGCCAACGAACGCGCACGAAGTCCAGTTCCGCTGATTGGTTCAGCCGTCTCACGTCAGTTTATCTCGCCTCTCATTGGTCACTGTTTTTCGTTAATAACTCGTAAACAAAGCTGCGAATTGCATTTGTGCTAAGGGAAAAGTTACTTCAAATGACCTCAGGAATCCTTCATTTCCCGATTTTGATTAACTTTTGGGACACCCTGTACACATATACGTTGCGTTAACTGAGAAGAAAAATCCGCAATTTCTCGTGAAGTTTTCCTCCGGAATATTTTTATACAACTATTAATAATTTTAATACTTAGATGTTCCCATTTAAATGTTCCATCCTTTATATTTCGTATTTTATTTTAAACTTCCATATACGTATGTATATCAATCGGATTAATTGGCCAATCGTTTATTCGGCTAGGGATGCAGTCTCACGGGAGGGAGTCTATTGTATAAGCATACCGACAGTATTAACTTATAACACTGTTACTACAAAAATTTTGCTTCGGTTGGGTAATAAAACGTACTGTGAAGTACGTTATAATAAGTGCTAAAATATTTACAATATATTTTTATGGTATTTTTGTCCAGTATAGTACCGAACGATGGTATTCTAATCAGTTTTATGTTATTTTGTTCTTTTATCAAGATGTGAAGGTCAATTTCAATTATTTAAATGTAATAGTTAGTATTTCTTCCCGAATTCGGATAAAGCGTTGAATTCTACATTAAAAAGTATTATACCAAATAGGTACACTAAAATACATGGCAACTGATATATTAGCAAAATAAATTTTATTTCAACTGATGTTCGAACTGTTTCCCGTATATAAAAATCAATACAATTACGTAATCTTATTATTAGAGAGCGAGAAACATTTTCAAGAGTTTCTGCTGTCATTGCAGAGCATGCACGACTAATACGTTGTTGCTTATATTGTTACCTATGTTGCATTAAATGCAGCATAGTGTTTAACGATAAACTGTGTTTACCGATCGGCTACTCGTAAACAAAATCGTCTGACTACGTTATGTTAACAGCGACGTTGATACAGCGTAAATGCTGTATCTACTAAATAATTTACTTTTGCTAATATCTCAGTAACTATGTATTTTAGACTCCATCTAGTGTAATACTAACAATTGAAAGTCACCTTCACATTTTGATAGAAAAGCAAAAAGACATAGAACTGATTAGAATACTATGTGTCACCCTAGAAGCCATGCAGCTTCTATCTCAAACATTTCTTCGTAAATATTTTATGGGTTACTTCATTTCGTCATATTACGACACTCGCCCTGTACACAGGATGACCCATTTAAATCTATCCAGGCAAATACATATCTTCGAAACCGTTGATGATAGTAAAAAATGTTTCAAACGAAATTTGAATGGTTTTAGGGGTCACGAAATCTGATATTAATGAGACGTTTCTAGGTGAATGCGTCGAGAACATACGAAGGTTAACTCTATCTTTTTGATCGGAATCATATATTTTTTATTATATCAGCCGATTCAGTTCATTTGTTACGAAAAATCTTTCGTAAAAAAGATCTTTCGTAAAAAATCTTTGCATTCAGATTGAAAGTCGTATTTTTGCACTATGCATTACTATAATTCAAATATCTTCTAAACCAATGATTTTTCGCGATAAATGCCTTAGTATTTTTATCAAGAGAACGGCGAAGTGAATCGACTGGTATGAAAAAAAATATGATTCCATTTAAAAAATTAAAGTTGAAAAATCTTTTTAATATCAGATTACGCGCCCTTGAAAACCATTTAAATTTCGTTTGAAACATTTTTTAGTATAATCGACGGTATCGAAGATATTTGACTCGATCGATTTGAATGGGTTACACTGTATATAGTATATCAGAATACTAGCATTTTGTAAAATGACAACAAGAATTTCAAGTAACTACATACATATATAGATTTCCATTTAAGAATTCATTGATCCAGTCTCAACTACGAAATTAATCTCAAAATTACTATTCAATTGAGCACTCACTGTACGCGGGAACTCAATATTTAGTCGCAAAAATTCGCCTACGATAGCATTATTGCGGCGGACGGAACAAGCACGTAAAGCATGTTCCCGAATGTTCGAGTATTGCGGCCTCCTTAACGAGGAGAAAAGGAACGAATATCCCAGAAATACGTTTCGGATCGTAAAAATGTTGATTTTCTCCGCGCGGAATGTGCAATAACATTAAGCTGAATATCTTGCACGGGGGAAACTCATCTCTGGAACAGGAATAAGATGTTCCATCGGCGAGCAATCATTTATTTCCATGGAAGCGAAAACGTTCGCTTCCTCGTGGCTGTTCGATCTACAGTTATCCAACAACAACAGTAGAGAAAGTCAAAAATGTGATTCTCATTTTGCTCGGTGACAGGATTTTATTGGAAGATTAGCGGCGCACTTAAGTGCTTACGAAACATCAAATACTACTGACGGCTCTGTTCTTCTTTTTATACTCTTATTACGTAAACCCGCCTCCTCGCAGTTCCGGATTCTCGAAATTATTTAAATATTTCGCACGCCTTCTTTCGATTCGTTCGCCGCAGAATTTAGCACTCGCTATTGACAATTTCCGCTTTACAGGTTTAAGCTGGTGCTCCACCTTCTCGCGACCTATTTATTTCTGAAACTGGTTCGTTCTTCGAGTTCTTTTGGAATTTTCAACTCGAACACGCCTTTCTATTTTGTTGTATAATAGATCTGAAATGAATTTATATTATGAATTTAACTTAATAATTGATCGTTCACCTTAACCATTGGAGTGTGGAATGTACAGGCAACTTATCAGTAGACTCCAGATTTTAATGCGGAAACTAGAAACTAAATAGTAAGTTCATTCCTTCCTTCAACACTTTAACCACTTAGCTGCGTCGATCTATTTTTAAGATCAAATAGTTTGTCTCGGCAAGTTGTTCTATTATTTTTAAATGTGCGAAATTTGTGAGCATCTTAAAATGTAAAATTGCCATTTACTTATGACGTGTATACACGTCGTCCACAGCTGAGAAGTTAATAAATAAAAGATAAAACATTGATATTTTTATAACGCCCAATTCCGGCGTAAATGCACAAAATCTTATCAGATTTCTCAGTTCCGTGCAACATATTGATGTTAATAACAAGGTCTTCGTGTCATTTTCGAATCATTTGGAATTTCATAAAATGTTCATTCAATTTGTTTGTTCAACGAGAAAATTTGAAATTTTCAATTAAGGCTATTTGCACAATTATTTCATCGAAGAGATTAGTAACATGATTGAGCATAGTTAAATTTAAATCAAATTCATTTGATGTAACGAATTATTTCACGAATGAGTTCTTCCAAATACATACTTTGTCACAATGTCACAGTATACCTGAGTAACTTTAATATTCGAATATTATAAAAGTGACAGAAAAAAACATCGTCAGATAGAATATGAAGACACTGTATCTAATTAACAATAGTATACATTTTATTCACATAACTGACGATATTTATTAAATGGTAAATTTTAGATGGGAACAATATCTGATTTTAGCGTTACTTTAATATTCGGACACTTCAAGATACATATACAGGATGTGGCACGTTACTGCCGCCACAATTTTTCAAGCACTTCGATAGTCTGACATTAAAATATTTTCAATGAAAGTTAATCAGTAGGCTATATATTATAATACAACAAATTTCAAAAACTACTGTCTTTCGACTAAAAGTCAAGGTCACCTTGACTTTTTTAAACGACACCCTGTATTTTTCATTTCGCAGAGATACTGCTGATGAAAAAATAAATACAATGACCTACTATACTAT